TTCAGAAAAAGTCAGGTATCAAATCAACTTAAAATTCCTTTAAAAAAGAAATGCAAYTCAAGTTAATCTACGTATGAGATTTTACAAATTTAGGGAACAGTCTTGGAAGGGGATGCTTGAGAATTTGAGTGCAAATACCTTTAGTGTTTGGTTAATATTAAGCGGAACTTAAAAACCGTGAGTATGGGTAAGCCTGCAGAGATGTTCTTTCATCTCTGGCGATGATCAAATGCAGTTAAAATACAAACTGTGGTCACTTCTCAGCTTCAGACAGGAACATGGAAAGACTCGCCAAATAAAACTTTGTAAAATTGGGAAGTTGTCTGTTTTGTAATTAGGCTTTTTCTAGCAAAGGTAGTATGGAATATTAAACCATGGTTAGCAAATGGAATACAAATTTTTACTAATGGCAAAAAAAAAAAAATCCCTTTCTATGCAGGTGTTATATATGTGTTTAATAAAGTATGTTTTAAGATAACATTTTAAATGCAGTTAAACGTTTTATCCTGTGAAGCAATCTTCATAGAGATTGTAGCTCTGCAGCTTTGTTTCAGTGYCTTCAACAAAGACAGAAGAGAGAGAGAAATCTGTTTGTTTTTAGCAGGAGAAGGCTGGGCAGTGCTGTCTGATAGGTGGCCAAGCTTTGGTCCAGGAGTATGGCCAGCATGGCAGGAGACACATGTAAGGGGAGGGGAGCTGGCACTGTCTCAGCATCGGGCCAAAGAAGATAAACCAGAAGAAAATTCCACCACTTTGAGCTTTGAGCGCTTTGAGGCTTGGGGGAGCTCAAGACATTTCCTAGGGAAGTCTAAGGAGGATGAGGTGGGAAGGCTGTAAGCGCGATGGGGMGAGGGAATCAGAGGTGCAAGCTCAAGGACCTTGTAGGTACAATGGGAAGGCTGTCTCAGGGACAAACTGGTAATGAAGGGGTGTTTGCACAATGGAAATTTAAATGACAGGAAGCAARTTCATAGGAAACTGGTCTTCAGCCTGCTGCTCAAAAAACAAGCTATTCTTTAGAGCCRCAGCTGAGCTAGGAAAGGAAGACAGCACGTACTGATGAGACAGGCACGTTTCTGAGTTTCCCTAGGACTAACCTTGGGGCCAGAGGATTTCTTTCACTGCAGAGAGGAGGATTTGCAGTGGGTCCCTTCTCTGGAAATGATGCTAACCAGTTGATTCTCTTTTTTTKGTCTCAATAATATTTCCTAAAAATCATACCCGCTCACATCACTTGGTAAARTATTTATAAGAGGAAAAATTAACTAATTAACTGTGGGTTACTTGTAAATTGTGAATAGTGTTACTTCCTATGAATCACAGTAGCAAGACACACTTTCTTCTGCTGTTTTGCAATACTTCCTTCCACCATTTTCCTCACTTGAAAGCTAATCTCTTGCTTTCAATTACTCCTTACAACAATTATTTGTGTTACAAAGGATTATGACTTCAGGTGAACTGTAACCAGTGCATCAGGATAGGAAAAGCACAGTTCTATTTCATTCGTGATAGGTTTTCATTAGAAGAAAGACAATAAAAAGTGCCAAAATTAAGACTACAATCGYAAGTATATTTCTATGTGTACCTCCCAAAGTTCTTGAATGTTTTGTTTTCCATGAAATTCTTTATATGTGTTTCATTCCATTGAGACCTAAAAATAGAGATCCCCTTACAAATAGTAGTAAGTGAACATTTCTGTTAGTAGTAAGTAATGGTAGTGTTTACTCTTCTAGAGATGACTCATGTAGWTTGTGCTTTTTTTAATGTAGTTGTGTTTTTTGTTTAGATGCATATACAAATTTTATAATTGTCTTAACTTTATTCTTGCTTAGCTGTGACAAGCCATCCTACTAAATTATATTTTTAGACTTGTTTCCTGAGGAAATGAAGCTTACACTAGTCATGCTGTCACAGTCAGCTGTCATCATCCGTCCATCTGTCCATCCTTGATAACTCAGCCAATTTTAGGCAAACTTGACAGACTGGCTGAGATAAACTAACTAGTTTTCTCCAAGTCTCTGCCTGGGAGGGTCACTGCTGGCATCCCTCACTGGAGGAGAAGCCAGAGCAACCCCAGCTGTCTGCTCAGTCCAGGCAGAGCTGAAAAGCAGTGGAGCACTGGGCATCGTGCTTGGCTGGCCAGCCCAACAAAGGTAGGGAGGAGGGCAGCACCAAGGTGCTTTGGAGTATGGAGTATGCCTTGAAGGCATTTTGGWGAKGGCTGTGGGAAGCTGGAGATMTGAGAAGGACCTGGGGATGTGAAATCAGTCATATGGTAGGGAGATTTATTGTGAATCTTGCAGGACATGAGGGAGGCAGAGGAGGAATAGCTCAGCAGGAGGAGAAAAAAGAGAAAAACAGGAACAGATTTCCTTCATTCTGCTCATGGAACAACTTGTTTCCTCTTCAGTCATGGATGCAGTTRTGAGTGTTGCAACATCACATAAAAAATGGCTGTTGAATAATGTGGTGCCCTTGGCTGTGCTTGACTGCAGATGGGTCTTTGCATAGTTTGTTACTTTGGTCAAACCAACTGGAAAGTCTTTGGTGCACATTGCTGCTATTGCAAAAGGTTAATTATTACCATGCTATCAGCCTTAAAAAGTTTGTTCATTTGAAAAGTTAAGCTTAAACTAAAGAACTCCAATTGCTTTTATTGATAAAAACTAGAAACTTTACTATGTGTTTTTGTTTTATTTTCCCAAATTTGTGRTGATTTGTGTTTAATGGGGAGGATAGGAGGGAACATTTAAAATATCAGATGCACCTTTGGAAGGTTTGTGAAAAAATATGGAATTTATGAAAGTCCAAGTGAAAGAAGGTGCTTGAATGATAACTTTTTCCTAAAGTTTTAGATACCTTTATCAGATTCCAAAGGGATTTTTTGAGAAATTTTGGGGTGTTACCTGTTTGTCAACAATTTTTTCTCTAGGTACTTCAGTTTATGGCACTTTCTTGTCACACTACATCCTCATCTCTCACAGTTATTTCTGTGCTCTGAGTGTCAGCTAGATAGGCCAGCTACTTCATCATCTACTGCTTTTTTTTTTATGTTATTAGTTCTTCTGCTGTAATTCCAAGAAGTATACTGCATATCTTCATTAGTGAGCAGATAAAAGCCTAAATTTTTAATCTGGAATGTTCAGTCTCAGTGAAGTGCTTTATGTAGAGTGAATCTATTGAAATACAGTTGCTTGTTTTCCATGAAGTTATAACAAGTAATTTCCCCCCTTTCTTAACAGAACGACCCTTAAGTTGTGGTTGTTTATATTACTGTAATTTAATGCTCATTAGTTCTGAGACATCCTTGTCTTTTTGGTTAAAAATGGTCTCTAAACTGATGAAAATTTCCAGTCTTGGCAGAGATTAGAGTCTGACCAGCTTCTGATTAGTGCTCGCTTGTACACTCTTTTCCTGCGATTGTCTCCCCTAGTACAATAAGCTGCCCTCCCTCATTTTGCCTGAAAGTGCAGCCACTGGATCTYGGCTGGAATGATGTAGTTAGAATGACATTAGGATGTAGCAGGCTCCAGCAGGAAACAAGGCACTGCTGGGGAAGGTCAGGAAACACTTTAGGATCATCAGAATTTTCTGCCATCTTCTGAGACATAGGACCATGTATTAGTTAATGTATTTAACCATTCCAGACAGTGTTCCCYGCATGGTTATGTTTGCACTGTTATTCTGTGCTGTACACACTGTACCAATAACTGTGAAATAAGCATAGAAGTTTTGTGCTGAACAAACAGCTTTGCATTGTAAATGGAAGTACATATATATCTAAATACATTACAACACACTTTTTTGCAGTGARGTGGCTGAATTGAATAGTTCTGACTTGTTAGAAACAAAATAGCATGCATCTCTTTATTTTGGATTATCTGAATAAACAAAAGCATAGTACCTTTATTTATGCTCCTTCGATTAAGTATTCCATAATCAGAATGTGTGCTTTTGTGTCTCAACTAAATCTCTCACCTGCCAGCCAGGCTATAGGAGTATGGAGAAAAGTACAAATGCTCCTRTTTCTGTGATGGTTTTGCTTTTGTCCCTTGCATGACATTTTCAGTGTTGCTTGGTTGTGCTATACTGGGACTTCATCTTCCATTTTCGCAACTTTTACAAGTGGATTTCCCAAGAGAGGGCTACTTGTTCACTTTATTATTTTKTTTCTGTATAAGCTTAAGAAGGAGTTGCTGCAAAAGTTTGAAAAGAACACCAAGTGTGCTGTGCAGTTAGTCTTCTATATTTAAGCAGTAATTAGTATGGATCCTCTAATTAAGAAAAAAAAAAGTGTTTATTGTTGTTGTTTCTTTTGTACATTGTATTTCACACTGTAATTTAAAGCCATGACAMGACATCAGAATTTACAGATTACAGGGAAACACATGCAAATAGTCTTCCTCATCATCAGGTTTATGCTATTACAGTGCATGATGAAATGAAGGTGAAAGAGGTGTGGATTTCAAAAGGGGAGTTGCAGTTGGAAGGAGTTGCATCAGTACCTGCCTGGGTAATGCCRGAGCAAAGAGAKCAAAACAATCTACAAYGACACTTCAGCTTTTATTTCTGTGCTCWTTAATTTTTGTAGATTTTCTTTCACTTTTTGTTTGAGCCAGATTAAAGTCATCTCTAAAATTAAAAGGCATAGTCATTTGACTGGAATTTAAAGATATGTAACAGCAAGCTCAGAAACCTGTCAGTGATTAGCTGTTCTGCTAGTGCAGAAATCACTGTGTTTAAGTGTGTTTAAACTCTGGTACATCTGAGGAGAATAGAAGTAATTATAACACAAATTGCTCCTTACCTAATGRTGCATCAGCTGGATGTTAACAAGAATCTCTTAAAGGTGTTGCTATTTCCTGACTATGTGGTGTTACAGAAGAGAACTCCATTTAGCAGCATTGTTGAAGTGAGGGAGCACCGTGTCACCAAATGCAGCGTTTGCAATCTGGGGATGAGCATTCCAAGTGACCACTTTACATTTCTGTCTTTTACAGGCTTGGGAAAAACCAAGAGAAAGACAAGTGCGAGAGACGCCTCCCCCACTCCCAGCACAGACGCAGAATACCCTTCCAACGGCAGCAGCGCCGACCGGATTTACGATCTTAACATTCCCGCCTACGTGAAATTTGCCTATGTCGCCGAGAGGGAGGATGAGCTGTCCCTCGTTAAAGGGTCCCGAGTGATTGTCATGGAGAAGTGCAGCGACGGCTGGTGGAGAGGTAGCTACAACGGACAGATCGGCTGGTTTCCTTCGAACTATGTGGTAGAGGAGGTTGAGGAGGCAACTGCAGATTCACCCAGCTTTCTCAGCCTAAGGAAAGGWGCTTCCATGAGCAACGGCCAGGGCACCAAAGTACTCCACATTGTTCAGACACTGTACCCATTCAGCTCGGTCACAGAGGAAGAGCTCAATTTTGAAAAAGGGGAAACAATGGAAGTCATCGAAAAGCCAGAAAATGACCCAGAATGGTGGAAATGTAAAAATTCCAGAGGTCAAATTGGTCTTGTTCCTAAAAACTATGTAGTAATCATTAGTGATGGTCCTACCATGAACACTTCCCATCCACCTCAGATAAGCTACACAGGACCATCTTCAACCGGACGGTTTGCTGGAAGAGAGTGGTATTACGGGAACGTTACCCGGCACCAAGCAGAATGTGCCCTGAACGAAAGGGGAGTGGAAGGAGACTTCCTTGTTAGAGATAGTGAATCTTCGGTAAGTGGTGCTTAGCCTGCAGGTTTGTAACTCCCCTGCGTGGGTTAGCAAGCGTGGCATCTAACAGAATCCCTGTCTTTTCACCCTTAAAGAAGTGAGCAGTGCCTCAGCATTTCCAGCCAGTACCCTCCTGCTTGTGASAATTGGTGTCTATTCGTAAAGTGCAGTGACATTTACACTGAAATTCAACAGCTGTGATCTCTATTATCCAGGGGGTTTCTAATTAGTGGACAAGCAAGTAAATATTTTGGGTTTCCATTTGGCTTTTCATGTGTTTCTCATGCAACCCTCAAATTCAAAGCACTACGAGATAAAATAATACTAGTTGTTTGAAAATTTGGCCATTGATTTGATCTTAAAGCTAATTTCTAATAGAATCTTTGCATTGGTCAGTTCTGTTCTGCTTTTAATTGAATAATTACATAGGTTCTTTATTAATTAAAATCCCATATTAATACATTTTGGTCTACTTAGATAATTCAGGTTGTAATAAGGTAGAGTTATTATTGTATCTAATTGTTAAGATTATGATAYACAACAGAGAGGGTCAAGTCAGCAGCTCTTATGCCTTTTAAATTGAGCTTTGATGACATCAGAGGGATCTGAGTAATGCTGGTTATGGTTCATATGGTAATTCTGGAAGTTCAAATTTAAAATTCAACTGAAAGGACTTTCATGTATGCTGAGGCCAGAGAATTTGCAGTGAAAGCACTAAAATTTAATTATCCCTTGGCTGTGATTTTGAAAAGGTGACAGATTTAAATCTTACATCATATGTAACATTGCCWAAGTACAATTTTTAACACACCCTGATATTTTTATCTGAAGACACTATTGTCTGATTAAATTTCAGGGACCTCTCCTTAATGAATTTGCTCTGCAAAAAAAAAACGTGATAGCTATTGAACTACCCTTTCTTTGAAGCTCTGTGTCATTGAATTCCTATTTCTCCTTAATTGTAATCATTAAACAAAGGCAAATGCAAATAAACCACAGGAGAACAGGAAGAAAAATAGAGATTAAATAAAAATAAACCAAAGGAAGACAAGAAGAAAAATAGGAATTTAGAAATCATGACTGGTTTACAGAGGCTGAGAGGAATCAAGTTTATTTAGTCAACAGAAGAAAAGACTGATGTGGAATACACAGTCTTCTAAAATGTAGAAAGCCACTGGAGGATTATGGTAACCATTAAATTACACTAGTTCTGGGGTTTTTTTTCAACATTCTTTTTCTGTCAGCATCCTGTCTGATAGGGGCAGGCGGAATACTGGATGTGGTGGATTCTTGACATGTCTATCCAGCTGATAGAAGCTCACTTTGAGATCTAGAGGCTGCATTGTGGTTTATCCTGAGACTGTAGCTGTCAATTTCCTTTCATCTCTTGGGAAAGTGCCAGAAGGAGAGTTTGAAAATCAATCCATTACTTAAAATACAAAAATGCTCATGCATTTCTCAGTGCATGACATGTCACAGTGACCACTATGGCTTGGGTTTTTTGCTTTTAAGTGTATTCCTCTGTCTCTGGAGCACATAAAGTACTTGGAAAAAAAATGCAGTAACCCTTTAATTTAATGTGACATCGTAGCACTAAATCTTTGTATTTAAAGCAGTTTCAAACTTTCTGCCTGCATTGTTGCTGGAGAAATCATTGCTTTGGAGTACAAAAAGATTTATTCAGAATGTGCTCTTCAAACTATTTTCAGCATCTAACAGTGGGATAACAGAAAATTTATTCAGTTCATATCACAGCAAGTTTTTTGCACACCCACAGGAAAGAAAAGAACTGCTGAATGGAGGAACTTACCTCTTTCTTTTTTGGTACTCTTTATCTGGTCTTGCAAACCCTGTATTTGAGACTTTTTTAGGAATGAGAAAACTGTAATTAGGCATGTAAATGCTTCCTTTCTATTGGTACTACATGAGAGTTTTAACTTCTATTAGGTTTAAAGAAATAATTTACTGCATCTCAAATGTTCATCTGCCCTAATCTCTSTGTATCATTCCATTGTATAGTGTGTTAATGTATGTGAATTATAAAACACAGGGAATGCTAGTTTTTTTCCCCTGGAGTGCCACAAGTGATATAGTAAGTGAATGGGCATATATGATAGCATTGAGAAAAGGTTCATAAAAGATCTATTTCAAACTTATTATGTATGGAAAAAAGAAAGAGTTTAGCAATAACTCATAAATTTCTGCCAGTTGCTGCATTTCACGTGTGTGACTACAGACGTTGTTCTTGCTGTGGCTAAAAGTCACGAGGAATGTCTGCACAATCCGAGCAGAAGATSTTAATTAGAGAGAACAGACTGAGCAGAGCCAAGTTGTCAGCTCTSTGGTTTGCTCATCCGACACCAGACCGGTACTTCTCATTACATTGTGTTGTTAACTCACCTATTAAAGCTGTGGATGCAGGGGTTATTCCTTTCTAAAATGGTCCATAGATAAAACTGTGAGTCATCCTGCTAACTTTGTGCCTGATTTTTGACCTGTTTTAGTTTTCTGTAGCCTTCCATCACCACAGTTACAAAAATTCATCTGTATAAAAGTTTTCCTTAGATTTCAGTTTTGCTCTTGTTACTGAGCTACAAAAATCTCTCCTTGAATAGATGAAGGTTTGTATTATTCTGTATTCAYTTGATAAGACTGTCATGTTTTTCCATTTCAGGTGTTAGTAGTTGCAAGATTTTACAATGTTTCTCTAGGTTTAGCATAGCAGATGTTTGTCTCATCACTTGATTCCTTTAGTCAAAAATACTCTGCTCAATAACACACCTACAGGATGCWGCCATAGTGGAGAATAACCTGAGGTGAACTCTATAAGGTAGCTGGGAGCCTGATTATCTTCATTAATTACGAAATACTATTATTAGAACCATAAACTTGTTTGAACCATTTAAGCCCATAGTTTATGTAACAGGCACAGTTACCTACTGATAACATTATTACCAGCTCTGTTGGTAATGTCACCTTAGTTTTGGAGCTCTGAAGAAGAGCTGGCATGTGCCTAGTTAGAAATACTGCATGATTTGTTCTTTTTATTGCAGGCTGCTAGGTTGATGAAACCTGTGGTTTGTCTCATTTAGGTAGCACTCCTGAACAAAAAAATGCAGATTTAACCTATGCAGTCTCTGTATAGCCATTTACTGGATTGYAGGCTCTTCAGTGGTCAGATTTTTGTTCCGTCTGTGTAGTTCCTAACCCAAGACAAACAGATCCTGGTGGTCTTGTTTGAGTGAGTGATCACCATGCTTTGAAGATCTCAGATTTCACTGAGTAGAGAACTAAATTTGGGTTGTTTTGTTCAGATTCACACCAGGAAACAATTGTGCTCACTAGTGCTGTAGCTAACAGGAAGCAGTAGCGTGTCACCTCCAGCTTCTGAGCAGAGCCTTTGCTGCAGWCACTCTTGGACTTCAAAGGGAGCTTCTGTCCGAACTTGTGGGCCCCTTGCACTCCTCTGCAGGTAGATGTAAAACTGGTGATCAGACAAACAACGGTGCTTCGTAGTCGTATGAGGTCTTCTCGTGAAGCAGAGGTGGTGTCATTTTTTTCAGACTATGAGTKAGCTATGCAAATTTTTGGATGGTTCCAGGAGCAGTTATTTGTTAGGAAGTGGGGGCTACCTTCTGCTGGTAGCATGGCTGCATCCAAGTTACAGTAAGCCATCCTGAACAGAGTTGCAAGGTATAGTTTTAAGATGATACTCAGATTTGTCGATGTATTAACATTATATTGAGGACTGTAGGTGTGGCTGGATTTGTGTCAGTTTTTTGARATAATATTTGGCTTTTCTGTTCTTTGTCTAGCAATAATCACAATAGAGGGAGGAGGCAGAGGTTGAGAGTTTATGTGTTTTCTGAGGTGTTAATTCTGTAGCATTCAGAGTGTCCCATATTTTCCTAGTGTTTTAATCCTGCACCTGTTTGATAGAAGAAATGAAATGTGGCAACTGTTTAAAAATTGAACATTAGTCCTGTTCTGTCATGAAGTGATTGATGAATGCAGCAGATATGAGGAGAAAGTTTTTCTTTGAAAACTGGCATAGGGTAATATCCTAGTGGTTTATTTTAAATGGAAGAACAGAAATCTTATTAGAACCATATTTGAAGATCAACAGTACCAATTTGTATTTCTGACCTGTGTAATACTGATTTTAGATCATGATCATTACATAGGGAGGAGAATGGTATTTGGTTATATCCAAATGAAATAGAAGGGGTAGGAAAGGTAATTAACCCTCTCAGATGGCTCTTTCAACCCTGACCTTCGATCTTTGAGTTCTGACTTGGGTTTTTTGGCTGGGTGATTGAGTAAGAGGAGACCTGAGGGAAAACTTGGGTATGGAAGTGGAAAGAGTTGACTAGGGGAGCCCTAGGGCAAGCTTGCTGATGGGAGCTCAAAGAATCCAGAAGAGTTTGAAGAATGAGTGCATGAGAGTATCTTTCTTGGAGAADGGGCATTGGCAAATGGAATTGGATTGAAAGGGAAAGTTTGAAATAAGTTACRGGATCAGTAAAAGGCTTCCAGAAGGAACTCTCTTTTTCCTGTTTCAGTTGTTTTTCCTTTTATTGCTTTATAACTTGCTTTCATGATAGTTTTCAATTGGGTTTTTTTTTTTAAAAAAAGATAGTGCAACTCCTTACTAAAGAAATAAAATTCAAGGAACATCATCCTACCTCTTGTTTTCCACATGCTGTTAGCACCAGCTAGCTTATGGTCATCTCTAGTTATAAGCAGGTGTTAAAAAAAGGAATTGGAAACAATTCAAARTAATACTACACCTGGACTGTAGGTGCATTAGAGCTAATCTTTAATTTTCTGGTTTAGGAATTGATTTAAATTCAGGTTAGGTTTTTCAGGTTTAGGTCTTTCCAATTAAGATGGTGCAGAAAAATTCMAAGGTTCCCTTCCACAAAGCTATGCTCTGTAACTCTATTGCAGAATCATGAACTCTTCTGTAGTTTTACAGGATCGAAGCTTACTTSTGATGTGCCTTTATTTGGTGTATGCAAGTCTTTTATTCCTGGAAAAGTTAGTTTGTAAACATCMAAATGAAGCAATTAATTTAAGAGGGAGAAAAGAGAAAAATTGGCCAGCACTTAGAACAAAATAGCTTAAACAGTAAATAAAATAAACAGACTTGGAGCAAATCCAGAGAAGACAGCAGGGAGCCAATTCAAACTGCATCAAACCAGCATACTTTGAAATGATAATGTTAAGAGCAATAGTTTATTTAGAGATTTTTTTATAGTATTTTTAATGAATTTGCATTTTTGTTAGGGCAGGAWGGAACCAAAACAAAAACAAGTCCAATTGCTTTTGCTGTTCATTCTTGAATCCTATAGAAGTTACTGCTCTAAGACCAATAAAGGGTTTCAGGATTTTTGCAACAGCTGTTTGAGCTCTTCCATCTCTTTGCACCGGATGATGACTCTCAAAAGAGTTAGATCAGCCTTTCCGCCTTTTAATTTTTTTTTAATTAAATCAGATAATGAAAAGAATAAACTTTGTAACATATTCTGCAGAAAATATGATAGTTTCTTCTACTTATGTATCARTCTAACTAGCGCAGGCTCCATGGCTATGGAGAATAGACAGTAGTTCATGAGAAATGTTCATTCACTAAGTTTATAATAAAATGGCAGCAAGAGTATTTAATGAATTATGTAGATCACCTCACAAGGGTAGAAGTCTGACCTGGGTCATAGGACAGTAAGTCAGAGGTCYAGCATCTCTCTGCCTATCATTAGCACATCGTTTATGGTCTAGAAATATTGACTCTTAACAGATATGAGAAGCTTTGAAAGCTCATAATTTTGACATGCAATAAACAACTGTGCTTTGTCAGAAAACATTAAAACTATTGTGAGAGCAAAGTGATTATTTCACTTATTTTAAAATTTTTATCATAACATTTTTTCCTGTTCCTAAAACAAAAAAAAAAGTTTGGTTCAGATTATGAACTTCCCATTTTTAAGTTTTTCTGTTTTAATTGAGGTTGTTTCGGTTACTGGTTTTTGTTTAATGTAGACATCACCCATGGAAGCAGCAGAACTTAGTCAGCAAGATTTGATACTATTTTTTGAATCCTAAACAGTTAATCTGTACATGCTGCCTCAGTCTGTCCTTGGAGAGACCCTCCAGACCTGCCTGTGTTCAGGGCACAGCAATCAGCACACTGCCCAGAGCCCATGCCCTAAATTTCTCCTCCATGAGCCCAGAGTCACAAAGCTCCTGCAGAGCTTCATTTGTGCAGTCCTGTGCTTTGTTACTGTTTAATGGCTGCTTCTTGGAGCTGTGGAGATTCCACTGGTCCCAGGCCTGTGTGGCTATGGATGCTGGAGGGTTTGTCCACACTGCGTTCAGGGCCTTAACCACAGCAAAGTGTTTGTACAGCCAGGTTAGCTTTAACCCAGTGTGGGGTAGGTGCTGAAAATAAGCCAGTCTTGGYGTGTGTTGTGTGCAGCCTTCTTTGTGATGCACCTGAGGCAGGAGCTTAATATCAGAGATAGCTGGCTTAAAATAGAAGTTTTTAAGCTTGGAGTTAGGGATGGATGACAGAGCACAAAATGTATCTTGGGTGGAGCATTGGAAATCCCAAAGATACACTCTTATGCACATTTTTTTCCATCACTTTCCCCCACCCTTTCCAGTCCCCTCTTGGCARTCATGGAGAGTGTTCCATATATTTTGAGCCAGTGGCTGCTCAATGCCAGAGGAAGCCTTCCTGATGGAGCCTGCACTGACCGAGCCAAAGCCCAGTAAAACTGGATGATAGATGGAACAAACAATTATCCTATGGGTGTTACGTAAAATAATTTTTAAGGAAGTGATGCTCGTTGATCTGGAATGTAGTGGCYCGAAGTAGAAGAGGGTTAGGCCAGGGGTGTGGGGAGCTTGCTGCTGCCTTTAGCTGTACAAAAGGGGAAGAGCTGCTGCCCAAAGCTGAGCTGTGAGTCTGAGGAGTTGGAGCAGAGCCAGATCAGCAGGCATGGCAGGAGCTTTGTTTGCTGTGGGCAGAGTGCATGGAGTCAGAGGGAAGGCAGAGAAAGCATTAGTGCTAAAACAGGTGAGGGGGAGATGCAAAGGACGAGATTTTGGGATAAGCAGGACGTGAGGTATGTGTGGGCAGGGACCCACTTTATTGCAGGAATAAAGGCAGCATGTCTGAGAAGACCCTTGCAGATGCAGTGTAAGGGACTCTGGAAACTGTGGTTTCATAAACTAAAGTCTGGTGACAGCAGTAAACGTGTGAAGGCTTCTGACCCCTCCACTTGGTCCTCTGCTGTGCCACAGCTGTGCTCAGGGCTGTTTTTAGGGCAGTGCTGTGAACCAGCTTGTGGGTTTTGTTAAGCCCGGACAAGCTCAGATTTGCAATGCTGGCTCAGCCAAAGCAGCAGTGTGGTGGGGAGAAGACTGAGGGACTGAGGAAGGTTGTGCCTGAAGCCTGGCATGTGCCTTCAGCAGTTTGTGCTTGAAGCCATGCTTTCAGCGGGCTGAGACCCTGCAGCAGTACCTCCAGGGTAGCACCAGGCATTACTTAGTTCCATGCGCTCATCTGTCACATCCCACTCCTTCATGGAAGGGATCACCCTAGATTCATCAAAGAATGGCAAAAACGTGAAGGGCCCAAAAGAAGCTAATGAAGTTTTATTAGCAAACTACAGTTGGCATAGAAATTAGTGTTTTACCCCTACACTCTAATAGTAAGAGAAATAATAAAAGAAAAGAGGGAAGAAAGAGAAAGTAAAAGGGAGGTCAGGTTGCAGAAGAAAGGAGATCTGCAGTCCTGGATCCAGTATCAGTCCTGCCAACAGGGTATCCAGGGCCCAGTGGGGCACATCACCAAGGCTTTGTGGGGTTACCTTCTTATAGGTATGTTTTCCCCACCCTGGAATTAGGTTTCTTGCTCATCATGTAAATGAGTTAGCATGATTTGTCTTCTGGACCTTTATGGAAATGGGGGGAGCTTTGAGGGTCTTTTGATGGTCTTGATCCCCCTCTACTGGACTTGCCTACTCCTTGACCCTATTCAAGTGCCTGTACTGTTTTGTGTTGTGTAGTTTCCATGGACCAGAACAGGAAAGTTGGCCCCAGAAAGGTGCTGCCCTGYCCTCTGCACATCCCCCTTTCCAACCACATCCTTTTGTAACTTGCCTGCTTGAACGTTCGTTGGTGTTTGAGGCATAGCAGCACGTTAAACCCTTATTGCCCAGATTTCTACACCATCTTCCTGGCCAGCCAGCAGCAGTAGGTGGCTAGAGACATAGTTCAGCTGGAAGCAAGGAATACTGTGAGCTTTCTACCCTCCTATGTTGGCATATGGTGAAGAAAGTGGAATGGTGTYATCCTGGCTGTTTGGATGACAGCTCTCTGCTTGTTAAAGCAACTGAAGATGAAGAGATTTATCATTAGAAATTGTCCTGTTCTGAGTAACTTAATTAGTGCTTAAATTCTGTCTTTTGTGGGTGGTGGTGTGATGGTGAGATTGTTACTGTTTTTCTTCTATAGCTTTATCTGTTTTTACAAAGWAGGTGTACTCAATGGGAGAAATGATTCCCCATGCATGTGGTAATGAAGATAAAAGGTAGATGTGGTTTTGTCTTTTGCAATGCAAAGCAAGAACGGCCCTCTAGTGGTCASAGCTCTAAAAAAAGCGATATGGAGAATTTTCTTCGTCTCACCCAAGCAATACTGCAGTAATTGCTTTCTCCAGGGCACCCCAGTGAGGAAGACATGCATGATAAAGATTCTTCCCTTCTCCTTGGCATTCTTGTGCTTCTAGATTGAGTAACTAAGATAATATTTGCAATTTAGTCATGTAATTGGCRACTTCAGACTGTGCATCTGGGGAGCTTTCACTTAACTGACTTAACAGCGCATGCTAATAATGATGGCAATTATTTATTGAATAATAGGTTATTGGGTTTCTTAAGTAGCTAAAGCACCGAGCTGTGGAGCAAAGACTAATGTAGATTGCTGTCAACTGTATGACMGTTTGTTCCTGAAAACACAAAATTATGCCTTCATTTTGTTCACTTTTATGTAATATTTTTTTTCTTTTTGAATTCTTCTCAACAGCCCAGTGACTTCTCAGTATCTCTAAAGGCGTCGGGGAAGAACAAACATTTCAAGGTGCAGCTCGTGGACAATGTCTATTGTATTGGGCAACGACGCTTTAATACTATGGATGAGTTGGTGGAACACTACAAAAAGGCTCCCATCTTCACCAGTGAACACGGGGAAAAGCTATATCTTGTGAAAGCACTTCAGTGACGTTGAAGATGGACTTGGCCAACTGGGCCTCTTATAACTTACAAGCCTTAGGTCCTAAATTCACTTTTATAGAGCAGAGCAATATCTGAAGCAGGCTTAAGGAATAGGCTCTTTCTAAAGTGTTTGCTCTGTCAGTTGCTGTTCGTCCTTTTTTTTTTTTTTTTTTTGTTTGCCTCTTTTTGTGTTCCAGTTTTGTTAACCTCTGACCACCTCTCTTCAGATTGAGAGTTTGCCTTGGGTGGCCATGGCGAGCACTCACCTTCCCGGCAGAGTTCAAAACGCCCCTCTCCTGTGTACGTTTACATAGTTAGCTCAGATCAAGGAGGGGCGTTTTCAATTCAAACCAGTGTTAATCTGTTCAGACTGCTCACGCAGGCAGAACTCTCCATTCAGAGACATCGGGCACAGTTTGAATGCACTGAAGCTGCAGCTGCTTAAGTGAGGGAGAGTAGACATAACAGTTGTGGCTGTGAGTTCTGTAGCTATATCGCTTACCGAGTAGGATAATACAAAACCTCCTAGTTCCTAGAAGCACTCTTTACACTGTACTCTGCTATTACATTGCCTCTCTGACTCTTTGTAAAGAGTACACTAATTAAAAGCATTTTGTAATAGTACTTCTYAAACTACTATGGTAAGATTGTAGTAAAAGAAAACTAGTGTATTTTGGTCTGTAATTGCAACAAAGAGAAATTTTATTTGAAAGTTGATTACTAGAGAAAGAATAATTGAATTGTAAAGGCTGAATGTTTTGGTAATCTACAACCAAATGTGCCATCCACATAATGCTTTTTCCTCTTGCCCTTCTGCTTGTTTGAATTAAACGATTATGTATTTAATTCTCAAAGTAATATGTATCTGTAGCTGATTGTTGACACTAATACAGAAGATTAATAAAAACTGATCTTGGGTCAGGGTGGGGYGGGCTACCAACACTATATATATATTTGCTTTATGGAAAGAAATCTTCGGGTTTTACAGAGGATGGCGTGGTTGGTAGGAAGAGACACACAGAATGTTTATGAAGAAAATGCATTTTTCTCTTTTCTTTACATTTAAACTCCTTTATGGTTTAAATATACAGTCTTTAGATGGCACATTCCTGCGATTGAAGAAGGGATCATGAGATCTCAAAATCTTGCATACTCAGTTTTTTGGATATTGTAATAAAAAAGGTATTACGTCATGATGGAGTACTCKATTTATCCTTCAGTGGTAGTCCTGGGTGTTACTTTAACAAGGTAAAATAGAGTGAATAATGAATTTGTTTGTCTTGGAATTTGTGTGGCCTAAAAACAAAACATCTGCGACTGCAGAGGACAGTTTTGATATGAGGCAGTGTCTAATGGGCTCTGTGTTTCTTGTTTCTGTGATAATTAAGTCCGTTCATAGCTTTAGTGAAAACTGCAAGACAGACCTATTTCCTGGTACCTCTTTRCTATTAAAATACATTGCTTGCCTATTCTGTATTTCAGCCAGTAATGGTGCAACTACCTCTGTGTATAACTCCAGAGCAGGTTAAGCAGACACCAGCACTGTCTGACTTGCTTTGGGGTAAGTCATGCCACTGCCAGGAGACTGCACTGGCACCTTTGCAAATGAACTGCAGCCTTGCTCAGATCCAAGAGGCAAGTACAATTTCTAAAGTTCTGCGCACATACTATTTGTCCACTGCACTTGAAATCKTATTTCTCTGAGGTTTTCTGAATTGACAGCTTGTATTAGAACTAAAAACTACTTTTCTGTATGTGCATTAACTAAAAATTGGGCAGTGACTCTTTTGCTTGGTAAAGCTTAATGAAAGAAAGCAGTTATTCAGAGCAATCATAAATGATCACGCATTCTCCTGAAGACACCTGTCCCCAACTGTCTTCTAAGAAGACAGAAATTTTCCTTWGGAAGTTGGTGAGGAGTATCAGTTGTTTACAACTTGCCTACAGAAGGATTCCACAGTAGGCTTCTACTTAAACCTCATGAGTGAATTCTGCAGAGAATGTATGGATTTACCTTCTAATACCTAGTTTTTTTGTTTAGGTGAATCTAAGCATGTACCAGTTATGGCAATAACGAAGAAAGTCAGCTATATGTTGTATGAGCAATTTCAGGTTTGAGAGAATTGCCTTTCAGTCTCATTGTCTCGTGGTATATGTGGGAATGGTTTACTTTTTCAGTAAACTGGTTATTCTTAATTACTCTTTCATGCCCCTTGTTCATTTYTTTCCTGAAATGTTCCATGTGTTTCCTGTTTCAAGGGCCTTTGTGTGGCTCTTGCAATCTCTTCTCTGTAGTCCATTTTTACAAGCTCTCYTAAGTCTTAACTCCTTTCTGGTCTTAGTAGCTTAGAAGGAAATCAAATAGACATAAATGAAGCTTTTACTATGTACTTAATGTTTTAATGGATTTATCAGATTTTCTTTGCTTGTTTTTGTTACCTCATCCTCTGTAAACAGCTTCTTTGACTTGAGGTGTGAATTGTTGAAGTACTTTGTTTTGGAAGCAGTTAGTTAATTTATGACCTGTAAATGACTAGCTCATGTAATTTTTTTTTTTTCAAGTAAGTCTCACCTGGGTTTTTCCCATACTGTGTTTTATCAGCATGYTTTCCATTCAACAGGCTCACTAATAGTTATTCAGTTGTTCCCATTTTTGTTAATTTTGATATGTTCATACAAATTTTGCCACTTTTTCCTGAGCTTTTGATCTCATTTGTTGGACTTGGCTTAAGCATTAATAACCTCCCAWACTAACTGCTTGATAAAGGGGCAATAGACATGGCTTTTATTATTATTTTTCTATTTTATAGATATCTTTCAATTATTTGACAATACCTCACCTTTATTTTTTGACTACTTAGAGCCTCTTTGTCAAAGCTTGCATGGGGAGGAAAGGGGGAGGTTTTTTTGTTTTTTTTTTTAAATATGAACAGAGTAATGGTGATCTGAATTTCTTTGCCTGCAGTATTCATTAAAGGCTCAAATAATTTCTGTTGGAGTAGAAGTGATTTTYCTTTATGGTGCTCAGTCTGGCTTTTGCCATCATACCTGATTCATACAGGTGCATAAGTTGTACTTTTAAGTATTATGTCTGTACAGCTGTTAATATTTTCTTGTCATGCTGGTGTCCAGAGGAATGTGACTGATATGTCTGAATCCTTAACAATTGCTGTGCTTTCCAAAGAGTGGCAGAAATTTGAGATCCATGTTTATATTTTTAACTCTGGGAGCTTGTTGACAGGCTCCTACTTGAACTTATCTTGACTATGGTATCAGCCCTTCTGGTGTCACATATTAGGTGGGGACAAATTAGTAATGGATTATTATAAGAGTGCACTGAGAACATGTCAGGTAAGCTCATGGATCTGCTGTGGTACAAAAGCAAAGGAATTGCTTACTCTTTGCTTTTGAGGAGAGAAGYGGCAATAAAGACATGCAGTTTGGTATTTAATGTTATTGACTGCATGAACAAATTCTGAAGTCCCACACTTGAATGATTCTGCTTRGTGTTCTCTATTCAGATCATCTTGTCTCATAAATGTATATTAAATCCTAGAAGCTTACAGCTGTTCTTCCAGACCTTTATTGTACAGCTTTTCTGTACTGTAAAGTTTGGTGTCTGGTTTAGTGGTTTCACCAAGGGGAAATAGAGATCTTCCACACTTAAAAAGATAACTTCTGTTACAGCACTAAATTGAAGTTCTTTTAAAATACCACCATACAATTTCACCTACAAAAATGAGTCTGATTTTTATCTAAATTAAAAATAAAAGGCTAGAAAATGGATCACAGTTCCTTTGAACTAGGTCAGACAATTTACCTGGMAGAAGCTACTAAATAACCATAAGGGCTTTTGTTTCTTCTTGATTGTAAAGTTTAATTCAGTGCTTTAGAGGTAAATGAAACTTGGGTAATCAGAATCTGACAAGTTCTGTTTTTTTTATTCCAGTAGGGTGGGATGACTCACTTTTAAATGGAAACTTGTTAACATATTTATAATAAACTGTGAAAGTATTGCTGAGGTAACTGAGCTCTTAAAATAYGCTTTCTTTTCAGTGTATTCAAAATTCAGTGCCTTTTTTATGAAGTGGAAAAGAGTAAGCCAGYAAGAATACAGGGTGCAGTCCTGAAGAATGTTACAGATCACCTGTACCACATGAATAGAAGTTTTTATAGTAAAAGTAGGATGCAAGTAAATGCTGCCATTTTTTCACTATTTTGATTAACAAGTAAATCAGTTGTGCAGTGCTCTTCTAGAAAGTATACTGCATTTGCAACCCAAATGTGCACCAGCTTTAATATGTGACAACAATGCYTAAAGTGTGTATGTTCTTGTGCCACTGTCTTGTAAAAGCCATAGCTTGCTGTCTTCTCATTTTTAGGTGAGTGTTCATATCTGTAGCTGTTGGATATAGTTATAATTTGTTGGAGAGATCAGCACATACTGTTTTTTGACCTAAATTAATGTGAAAAATAACATATATAGTATACTTACAACTGTTGTATTTTCTGATCCTTTGCATGCTGCTGGAACCCTATGCTCTTTTTGTCTTTTAAAATGTAATTTTTTTTATCAGACATATTCTAAGTGTTTCTTTTCATGTTAGAAAATAGGATGTTTCCCCTATTATTACTTGAACTGTCCACCCAGGCTGATACTGAAGGTGATTAATAGAAGTGGCATGCAGCCACGGACACATTAAACAAGTTTTACCCTGCATTTTCTTTCCCATRTGGTAATATTAAACTGTTTAAGAGTAGGAGGTTAAACAAAAGAGAAAAGAAGATTCTCTAACTTGACAGGTGATCTTCAGCAGTGGGAGTCCACAGTTATAAGGAAAGAGTAACAGGTAAGAAATGTTCTTTTCTACTTTCTTAAATGAATATTGTTTGGAGTTTAGCTTGACATCATATGGCATGAGTGTATGAAATAATACAAATTAATGCTGATTTAGTCCATTTTATTGAAGGAATGGATGTATAAASTCATTAATTTCAATGTCCTACTATAGAGAATAGTAGTCACCTTAAAAAGGGGAGAACTGGCATTTGGGGGAACTTCTTAGTTGGTGGTGGGGTTTTTTGTTTTGATTTTTGAGGGAAGACTTCAAAAGAGGTGTCTTGCTCCAGTTATCAAGCCAGATTTTGCTTCTAAGCTTCTTCCAAAAAAATAATCTCTTGAGTGTGGGCCAGGCCACAGGGAATGTGTTAAGTGGAATTATTCTCCCAACTGTAATTGAGACTTGTGGTGAATAATGAGATTTTTTTTTTTTAATTTTGATCTCCATTACATTGGATATATACATCTATATGGCAATTAATTAGTGGGTTCTGTGGGCTACTGACTTAGTTTTTCACCTGGGTTCAACTCTCTCAAGTTGAAATAAGCTTGATGACTTTTTTTTTTTTTTTTTTAATTCCTTTTTATGTCATAGAACCAGTAGTGCATTCAGTGCAATTATAATTGGTAATGCAAAGAAGCCCTTCAGTTGTGGGCAGCTGGTATGTTTGGAATACTAAGTCCATAGATGATGATGATGATAATACAGCCATAAAGAATTGCRGGTAAGAGCACCAGGAGACAGTCAGAACAGGCTCTGGCATCATTAACCAAGTGTCTTGATGGTTTCTCTTTGGAGAATTAGGATGTTTATTTTCATTTCAATATGCAGAGCTAATTTGTAGAAGTTAAACTTAACCCTTTTTTGGCATACAGTATGTTTATATGTAAGTAAATTCACAGGAGTTAGCACTGCAGGAGAGAAAGTGAATGTTGATRCCCCAGGAAAATTAAAGRTACTGGTGATTGTAGCAGCTTTCTKAATGAAAATACTTCTAGGTTTGTGTCCCAGTGAAAAGTGGGGTCTGGTTCATGTTTCTTGTTTTTGCACTGGCATTGGCCTGACTTTGTGCTGCCATGACCTGTCTCCACCAAAGACACAGCAACAGTGTTTATGTTGGAAGAGATTTCCATAGGGTCAGGGCTCTTGTGTAGCTGGCTTGGTCTAAGCACAGAGTGCAGTAAGAAGAGATGAACAAGGTGTTGAAGAGCCCACCAGGAATGGGTGGGTGCCACAGAGAACTTATTACATCAAGTTATTTTTGTCCTTTGCTTTACTAATTCAACAGTGAATGCTGACATTATTAGTGTTTGATGTTTTGTATTAATAAGTCTCAGATTTGTTTCTTGTGCTAACAGGTAACTTTGATGAAATGTGCCTCTTTGGCATGTCTCTAATCATTCTGCTATGAATTTCAGAATGTTTTAAGAAAAATTAGATCTTTTTAGATGGCATTTCTGATGCAGTATATAACCACATCTATGTTGTCAGCCTTCTGATGCTCTTTACTATTGCTTCTGTAAAAATTAGAAGTTCGAACATGTTTCAGTAGTTGGGAAAGGACTGAGCTGAGATTTCCATGTGGTGAGTGTCAGATTATCAGCCACATGCCCCTTGATGGTAACATCCCATGTTGTTTAACAATGGGATGGTTAACAATCTGTCTCCCTAAATTATCATCAGATTTGTCTTTGGGTTTTCTTTTTCCTCATTGTATGGCCTTTTTTCTCTCTWTTTTTTTCCTTAGAAATACACGTGCATCTGTCTTTGGTCTTGTTACTTCCTGGAAAGTCTCCTGGCCCTTGGCTGCTGTTCTGGAGCTTTGTGGGTCATTTGGAATAATAGCCTTTCCATCCAGTGTTGGCTGCCTGGGAAATAATACTCTTCTTGATGAATTGCATTATCCTGTGGTGGGGAAATAAGAGCCAAAGGTGCTTTCCTACTTCATGGTAGTTCTGGGAAGYACTTTGTGCTAATAGAATGAACTCTGGCCATTCTTTAGAAAAGAAACAAAAAAAGAGCAGGTTACCATTCTGATTTAAATCAAGTGCTCTGTAAAAGCTTGTGAATCATTCTAAAGCTGTRATAATGGAGGAGCTCATTATATAAYGCAATGTCAGGAACTACTTTGGTAACTGATGGAAAGAGGAGATCACTTTCCTCAGCATTAGCAGGATGTTAATTTTGCAATCGTCTTACAACTTCTGAAGAACAAACCCAAYCACCTTCAGTTCTGAATCTTTGAGCATGGGGCACCACACAGTCACTTGGATTGATTTTTTGTTATTTTACTTTTAACTGCAAT